TCCATGCAAAATTTACACTAAAAATTATTTTTCCGCTCAAATCATTTTTCTTCGCATTCTTTGGGTAAAAATATGATTCGCGTATTTTTTTATTTTCATTTGACGCATACAGTTTCCGAGATATATTTTTTTGAACTTTAAGCATGCCAAAAAAGGACTTTTTAATATATGCAAACAACGTAAATCTGTAAGAAGAGACAACACGTTATAATTGTAACGAGTGAGAACATTAGGAGCGTGCTTTCCCTTTTGCCCAAATGCGTTTTGTGATTGGATGAAAAGAGAAGGAACTCTCCTGATGTTCACACTCGCTACAATTATAACGTGTTGTCTCCTCTTATAGATTTACGTTTTCTGTGCTTTAAATACCTGCATTGGTTTCTTTCTTTCTTTCTTTATTATGATTTTTTTGACCAATCTTAAAACAACAACTACTAGACATAAAATAAGAAAGTGTGCACTATAAATATAAACCAAATTTTCGTGATTGGCTTTTGATGTTACATAGATACATATATTCGTTTAAATCATTTCAAATGGAGAACTTATGTATTTTTAGGAAAAATTTCAAAACCAGTTATTTTGTCTACTTGTCGGGCAATATTTTTTTATATTGATATCCATTGAATCCTTGGCTAAAAACTCATTTGGAAAAACTGTCCGCCTACGTATCCCTTCTGATATAAGTCTGATTTTTAATTAGGTAAGAATTACGCAACTATCTGAGACCCTCATCATTCGTGATTCCAATAACTCAAATGCTTATAAATATTTTTTTTTGCTTTTTTAAAAAAATACCAATATTCTGTATCGATACAAAAATTACTCATAACTCGACTCTTAAAAGGATCGACAGCACCCGATTTTTAAAAGTATCGATACTGAGTACTCCAAAAAACTTAGTACACACATAAGAACTCGAAAGTACTCAGTACTCAAAAAAGGAGCTCGAAAGTACTCAGAACTTAAAAAAAAAAGTACTCAATAATCGATTTGATACATGTACTCAGTATTAAGTGTCGAATAGACTTAAAAAGTACTGAGCGTTATTTACATTTAACGGTATTCAGAAATGATTGTACTAAATTTGCAGTTTCAATAATTTTCAAGTACAGTATTTGGTTTAACGTAATTTGGGATTCATATATTAATTTGAATAAAATACTGCCAGCTTCTGAGATTTCTACATTAAGTATTGAAATCTTACAAACATGTGTATATTTAAAGAAAGCACTCAGTACTCTGAAAAATGCCCGATCCTTAAAAGTATCGATACCAAAGTACTCGATACTTCCCAACTTTAATTTTGTTCAAAATTTTCATACCTGGGAAATAATAATTTATTTTCCATATCCACCTATTTAGCACGCTATAAGCACAATTTTTTCAAACCAGTCGCAGAAGAAAAGATTAAAAATTTATTAAAAAAACTAAAATCGAAAAACGCTGATGGCGTTACAGATTACCGAAATTCTGAAACAGCCAAAGGAATGAGAATGAAGACTTCTTTTTAAAAATTTTAACTAGAAAAGCTGACAAGGTTTGGCTTGTAAGTGGTGTTTAACCAACGATCTCGCCATTATGCTAGATTCTTCAAGTGAAGATGAATGTCAGGAGGATACATCCGACATTTTCAGTCACGATGTAATTCTCATTACTATTTATTAAATATAATATTCCAATTTTTGACTTCAAGTACTTAATAAAATAAACATTTTTAAAAATTACTAACTTTTCCATTCTTTATTTACCTAAGTAACTTAATTGGTGGGCGCACATTTTTTGCTGCACAGAGGCGGGTGCGTATCTTGGCTACAACAAGATAGTGGTCCGAGTCGATGTTTGGTCCTCGGAGTGTACGTACGTCCAAAACGCTTGAAGCATGCCTTCCGTCTATCACAACATGATCGATTTGGTTTCTCGTTTTTCGATCTGGAGACAGCCATGTAGCTTGGTGGATGTTCTTATGCTGGAACCTTGTACTACGATGGCAGTGAAATTCCCAGATTTAAATAAAAGAGCTTGTTCTCAGTTAAAGCAAATGTTTTTAATAAACTTGCGATCAAAATTACAGAGAGAAGAAAAGTGAATGTAATACAAAAAGGAAGCATAAGAAAGTATGAAAAAATGACAAGCAAAAGGAGATGCCATATTGGCATGCATATTGTAACTAAGGAAAAATACATAGGTTGAATATTTCCAACACGCCCCCTCAATAAGCAGGCCATCTTAAATGGAAAATCCTAGTCCTTTTAGGCATTTCTCGTGACTCACTCTGGGTAGCGGTTTGGTCATAATGTCGGCAATCATTTTTTGCGTTGGTAAATGCTGCAAGTAAAAATGTCCAGCGGCAACTGATTCGCGAACAAAATGATGTTTTATGTCAATGTGTTTCGTGCGCGCATGAAATACGGGATCACTCGCCAAATACTGATCTCCTTTGTTATCAATAAGAATTGTAATATGGTTAAACATTCGTAAGCCCAGCTCAGATAAAAGACTTCGCAAGTAAATTGCTTCTTTAGCGGCTTCTGCTAAACTGATGTATTCCGCTTCGGTCGAAGATAACGCAACTGTGCGCTGCTTTTGCGATTTCCAAGTAATCGCTGCGCCACTCAGTAGGAAGACATAGCCCGTGTATGATCGACGATCAATGGTACAACCACCCCAGTCGGCATCGGTATAACCTATTAACGGGTCACCCGTTTTGCGAAACATCAACCCCCTATGAGCTGTTCCAGGCAGATATCTGAGTACCCGCTTCGCAGCAAGCCAATGACACATAGTTGGATTCATGACAAACTGCGCTAGTCGAGAGACTGTGTTGGCTATATCAGGTCGCGTTGCTACCGACAAATACATCAAACTTCCAATCAATTCCCTATATGGATTTCCTTCGCATGGCTTATCTTTTGCACCTGATAGTTGTGCATTTACCTCAGACGGCGTCATGACAGGATTGCATTCTTCCATGCCGTACTGCTTCAATAGTTCCATCACGTATCCTGTTTGCTTCAGATCAATGCCTTCTTTTGTTTGTTCAATTTCCAGGCCTAAGCAATATTTCGCAAGACCTAGGTCTTTAATTCCAAACTCTTTTAAAAGTTGCTGTTTAATATATTCGATGTTTCTCAAATTTTTCGATGCAATTAACAAGTCGTCTACGTAGACCAATAACAAACAAAACTGTTTATTGAGTGTACCATAAAATAAACACGGCTCGTTTTTCAGGGGCTTCAATCTCATTTCGGATAACTTCGTGCTAAGTTTGATATACCATTGACGGCCAGATTGCTTGAGGCCATATAATGCTTTTCTCAGCTTACATACGTTTCCGCCGCTACGTATATCTTCAAGCATCTTTTTAGCTCGCAAACCCACAAAACTATTTCCACCTTGATTTGATACAATGCGCTCTAGCATCTCACATAGCATGTCTGGAACTTTCATCAAAACTTCTTCTTCTAGAGACCCATTGAGGTATGCTGTCACCACGTCAAATTGCCAAACCTTAAGTTCGAAGTGTATTGCTAAGGCCAACAAAAGTCTAACTGTATCTAGCCTTGCTACTGGTGCGAATGTTTGATTGTAGTTGACACCGTATTTTTGGCCATACCCCTTAGCCACAAGGCGGGCCTTACGCCGCTCAATCTTCCCATTGGAACCATATTTATTTGCGAGTACAAAGCGACATCCAACTATATTTTTATGGTTATGGGTGCTGATGATCTCAAACGTGTCATTTTTGACTAGACTCATAACTTCGGCTTCAATAGCACCCTTCCACTCATCACACTCAGGACCTCGTAAAGCCATACGTGTATCGATTTCAGCTATACCTGTGAACACGTTATCATCGATATCTTCTGAGTCACCATCTGACTCGAGAGGCTGGACATCTTCTTTTACAGAATTTCGAGAACGAAATACTTTTCGGGGACGCCCTCTACGCCCAGTACGAATAAGTTTGGGCCTGCCCGGCGCTCTACCGTCTTCTTCTTTATCGTCAATGCACGCTTCTGAGCTTGAACCAACCTCAAAACTCTCTTTTTGGACTTCTTGTGGAGGAAATTCAACGAAATTTTCGTTATGTGCACCACTTTCATTGTCTGTGTCAAAAAGCAACAAATCATCTGATACATGTTTCCTTATTGACTGTTTCTGACCGGCCTCCAAGAACTTAACATCTCGTGCACATATAATCTGATGAGTGCTAGGAACCCATATGCGATAACCTTTTCTATCTCGAGGATACCCTACAAATATGCCTTCTGTAGCCCTAGGCGCAAGTTTACTTTTACCTGGATCCTTATTGAGCACCATTACTTTTGATCCAAATATCTTCAAATAATTAAGTTCCGGTCTGTCACCATAGAGCTTCTCGTAGGGTGTCTTCCATTTAATGCTGCTTGATGGACATCTGTTGCGTATAAAACATGAAGTAGCTACAGCCTCCGACCAAAAAGATACACCCAATCCAGATTGCAGCAGAAGGCACCCAGCCATATCCAGCAATGTCCGATTCATTCTTTCGGCCAACCCATTCTGCTCAGGAGTTCGGGGAACACTAAGCCTTCTTAAAATGCCATGCTCTGCAAGGTATTGATCAAAAATATTATTACAATACTCACGGCCATTGTCGGACTGTAGACACTTTATTTTCTGACCCGTTTGCCTTTCAATGCACGTTTGATATAATTTGAAAACCTCAAAAACATCAGACTTTTGACGCAGAAAATATATCTCGCACCACCTTGAGCTGTCGTCTATGAAGGTAACAAAGTACCTTGCGCGACCAATGGATTCTTCTCTAAAAGGACCCACGACATCCGAGTGCACAACTTTTAGCAGTTCTTCACATGGTTCGCGAAACTTGTTAAATGGTAATGCAGTCATTTTACCTTTTAAACAAACTTCACATTTTGCTAGTTCCTCAGTTTCGCTAGCTTTAATCGAAGGTAATACATTTTCACGGACAATTCTCGTTAAATCTTTTGCATTCAAGTGGCCAAGCCGGCAATGCCATTTAAATAATTCGGAACACTTTTCCTCAACAACACCACATTCGCTGCTTTCACGCAAATAGTACAAATCGCCCTTTCGATCTGCGATAAGGGTAGTTTTGCCACTTGCATCACTAACTGCCCCTTATCGGTGATTTTCGCAACAGAAATTAGATTCGTTCGCAAATCCGGCACAAATAAGGTATTCTTAAATTCTATTTGTCGTTCACCGTCATCACCAGCTACTCGAAGTTGTACAATGCCCTTGCCTTTGACATCTGCGCAGGCCTGACTAGCAAGGTTCAATTTGGCTTTAGATGATTTGCTAATAAACGAAAAACTCGAAACGTCGCCACACAAATGTGCAGTACACCCGCTGTCAAGAACCCAAGTATGATTCGCACGATGAGTATGAGATCCATCCCATGATTGCTCTGCTGCCGTATGGCATACCGCATACGATTCGTTGACTTCGTGGTTAGATTGTTTCAGATGATTAGAATTTTCTCCTTTCCTAGCTTTACAAACATTCGCTTTATGACCTGGTGCACCGCACTTAAAACATTTAAAAATGGCTTTAGAAGCATTTTTCTCGTTTTTCTTAACGTGTCTCTTTACACAATTTACGCGATTACCAGCCGCCATTGCAATTACTGCACCTCCAGAAGTTTGCTTACGCGCCTCACTTTCCTCGATAATTTTAATCTTTAACACCTCGGCATTGGGCAATTCATCCCTAGATTCAATAGCGCACCGAAAATTCTAATAGGACGATGGAAGGCTATACAGCAGCATGATTGACAACAAATCACCATTTATTGGTACACTCATGCTTTCAAGTTTATCCACAGCATCGAAAAATGTCGCGATATGCTCTTTAACATTACCACCCTCATCAAGTTTCTGTAAC